CAAACCAAGCGAAAAACAACTGAGTTCTTATGAAAGAGCAGAATTTGCCGGATCATCAAATAAAAGGGGATATGGCAGAAAGAGTGAAATAAATGAACAGTGAGAAAGAAGCAATAATTAAAAGAAGCCCAATCTCTGAGAAGCATGTGCAAGAATCATTGCATGGAGACAGTTACTTTGGGAACTCATGAACTCCTGTGTTGGGTTACATAAGGCTCAGACTCGGTACCCTCACAGGCCTAGGCTATACAAAGGGTATTTGAAACTGACATTCCTAATGGAAATTTTATAAAATTTGGCCCTTAGAATAACTGAGAAATATCCTGAAAAAATCTTCCCTGAAACTGTAATAAAGAAGGTTTCTTATCTACTGATAAAATCGACAACTCAGTAAACTATTTTTTGCTGGTCATCCTACATTAAAAAAAAAAAAAAAGCACAAATATATTTGCCTCAGAAATCTGTTAAAAGCAGGGGACCACGCGGTAAAAGAGTATAAAGATTCTATAAATGGGGAGAGTCCAAGAAAACCTCTCTCCAAAGTGTCCACAAGGATACATATGCCCATTGGAAGAAAAAGTAAGAATATACATATTATTAATCATCCAGAGAATAAAAAAGTTAAGATTGATATAATATATTTATATTGAATGACTACTTTAAAATAGAGCAACTTATTTGCTTTATTTCTCAGATTCCTTAGGCAAAAGTCACTTAAGTTCTGAAGTGAAAAAGAAATGTGAATTTGTTTTACTGGACCGATAGCAAATGAGGATGGTTTCAACTCCCAGAGAAGAGAAAGGTTAAAAGTCTTGCCTTTTTGAGTCTTTCTCTTTTTCAAAAATTAAAAATAAAATAACATAAAAACAACTAAATCCTCCTGACTGCTATATGCATGCATATTTAAATCACTTCCCCTCGATTAACATTACAAAGAAACATCTCTGCCCAAAAGGGTTGTAATGATCTTCTTCTAGCTAAAGGATAATCACTCTACAAATAATTTGCCCTGTGACTGTAGTCATTCATAACACACGTAATATTTGCAAAGCACAGTTTAAATACACTGCCTTTTATTAGCGTTATTTTTTTTTTCTTAATAAAAGGGATGCATATCGGAGTGTAAGAACTGGAAGATTATTTCCACAGTTTAAAGAATTAATAAGAGAATGCTGGTTTAGGTCTTAAAGTTGGAAATCTTACCAAAATGCCATCATCAAAGTCTGTGAACTAGTTATAAACAGCAGGATACCCACTGGCTAGGCTGCGGCGCTCTCAGCGCCCACCCCCCACCCCCATGTTACCATTTTAAGATATTCTGTCCATGTTTAGTTAAAAATAAGACTTACTTAAGAGACCAAAAAAAAAAAAATGCAATTAAACTTTTATTGAAGACTATCCAGTGGCAAGAATACCTGTGTATTATATTATGTTTTAGACATTCAATAAAGGATTCATTAAGAATGATTTTCACAATGCATTCATCAAAACAGCCTTAAATATGGTTAAAAGCGCATCCAAGCGCCGTCCTGAGTTCTAACAGGTTTTTAATTTAGATCGCTGACCACCTATTTTTCCTGTATTTTACTCTCAAGAACTTAGCTACAGAGCCTTTTTAAAATCATCATCATCATCATCATTATTAAATCAAGACTATTTGTTTCCATTCCGAGGCCAATTATGTTACTAATTCACCTAAAGTTTCTACCTCACCACCACAAAAAAAAAAAAAAAAAAAGTCCAGGATTCATCTATGATCAAAACATAAAATACATGCAAAGTTTTCAGATTTTCAAAATACATAGACTCAGTCTTAAAAATGGGTTTGTGTTTTCAACAAGTTTCAGAACTGCAGCAGAGGGCCGCCACGTAAAACCACCAGCACAGAGAATTGTCAATTGTAAACCGCTGGTTCAATTATTCGTGGCTCAAATAAATGTCCGACCAATGGCTACATTAGTCTATCATTTTGAGAGGAAAAAAAAAACAAAAACAAAAACAAAAAACAAAACAAGACAAAAAAAGAAGGTAAACAACTTCAGAAATCCAGTTCCAAACTGAGAACCTTGTTAACACCATCAGCCCTTTCTTTTCCCAAGTGTACTACTGAAATCCGATGGTTCATCGAAAGGAAAAAGCCACAGAAATCTGTCCCTCTGTAGCAAAAGCTGGTTGGCTTCGCAGCCCAGGGCTGGGGGCTGGGGTGGAGGCCGGGGGGAGGCGGGGGGAGGCCTGGGGGAGGTCCGGGGAGGCAGGGGGGGGCAGGGGAGGCCTGGGGAGGTAGGAGGGAGGCCGGGGGAGGCCGGGGGAGGCCGGGGGGAGGTCCGGGTCCGGGGAGGCCGCAGCTCCAGCGCCCGGGAGGGCGAGCCCCGGGAGGCGGGAGGGGAGGCCGGGAGGGTGCGGGCCCCGTGGCCCGGCCGTTCCCGGAGGGCTGCGGCCGCCCGCACCGGGTCTCGCCCAATCTCGGGAAACATGGAGGCCGGACCTCGGTAAATCAAGTCAGTAGGTCAGAAGAGGGGCAGGGGCGGTGGAGACTCTGCTCGGAGTTTCAAGGAGCCGCCGAAAGCCGCCCCCCGCCCCCCGCCCCCGGGGGCGCCGCAGCCGCAGCCGCAGCCCGGAGGTGGGGCCGCAGGGCGGGCGCGGCCCCGGGGCAGGAGGGGTCGAGCGCGCGGGGCGGGGGGGCCCGGGGAGATCGGGGGGCCCCACCCCGAGGCCGGGGAGCGCCCCGGGGAGGCGCAAAGAGCCGGAGGCCGAACCACCTTCCCGGGGCCGAGTTCCGGGCCAACCGGGCGCCGGCGCGCGCGAGGCCCCCCTCCCCGCGCCCCCTGCGCCCCCCTCCCCGCGCCCCCCGGCGCGGCGCCCTGCCCCTCGGGTCGCCCCGATCCCGATCCCCTCGCCGCGCGGCCCCCGCGTCCACCTCGGCGCGCGCGCGGAGAAGCGGGGAGCGGGGAGCGGGGTCCGGGGAGGGATGCGCCCCCGGAGCTCCCCCCCCCCCCAGGGCGAGCGGCGGGGTCGGCGCGCCCCGAGCGCAGGCTGCCCAGGGCGGTCACCGCGACGCGCAGCGGGGACGCAGCCGGGCGCACGGAGCGCACCGCCCGCGGACCCCGGCCCCTCGGCCCGGAGGGTGGGGAGGGACGGGGGGCGGTGGAGGAGGTGAGAGAGGAAACGGGGGGAGGGAGGGCGGAAAGCAAAGGATCCTCCTCCCTCCTTTTGCAGAAGTAGCCGCGGAAGGCGGAGGAGAAAGACCCGGGCCTGCCTCCGCGACGCTGCGCGGCCTGACCCCCGCCTCCCGCCCGCGCACACAACAGCCTCGCCACTGCGCTGCGACCCCAGGACCTCCAGTTTGACTTCTATAGAGACTATTGGCGATGCGAGTTTCTATCAGTTCCAGCTGATTTATTAAAATTGTCAAGATACAGACTTCCAGCACAAAAAAAAAAAAAAAAAAAAAAAAAAAAAACAGGCAATGATGTCGACAGTGCATTGAGTCTGCTTTGCCACCATTTGCTACAAAATATGCAGATGGTCTGTACTTTATTTAGATTATATTGCACAAAATGAGAAACTTTTTAAACTATGTGCCTTTTTTTTCTTTTTTTTTTCTTTTTTTTTTGCTAAAAATCGAGAATCCAGTTTCAAACCTTCCATCTGGGGCCCCATCCACATATCACAGCGTATGAGATACATAAAGTCCTAGTATAGTACAGTACATATACAATCTTTAAACTAAGATAACAGCTCTGAGGTCTATATCACCATTTTCAATAAATCTTTACCTACAAATATTGAACAAATCTCTACTATAGCTGTACAAAAAAAAGTTTGCTTTTTTTTTTTTAAACCACAAGGCCTTTAGATGCAAGGATTATTTAAAAATTTTAATCCTTTTTAAACCAGGACATCACGTACCAACATACTTGCATGCTAAAAAAAAACAGAGGAAAAAAAGAAATCAAAAGGGAAGAAGTGCCTGAAAGTCTTACTGAAAAAACACAGCAAGAATGTTCCCTTTTCACTGTACAAAAATACGCCTGAAAATATATTAATTTTTAAAAAAGACTGAGGTCTGTTATGTATCAAAAATGTTTCAATACCTTTTGTACTGAGGTCTAGGCTGTCTGGTATTCAATCAAGGAGGTATAAGGGAACAAGTTACAAAAAAAAAGTTGGCAAGTAGAAATCACATTTGTAAAACCATAAACAATTTGATCTGAAAAGTAAACTCTGATCTTAAGTCAGTTCACAGTTTTTTTTTTTTTGTGAGCGTTTGTACAGTCTGCATTTTTTCAAGCTCCCTGCAGTTTTGTTAAGAATCGGATGCATAGAAGACATCAGTTTTCTCCCTCCAAAAAAATAAAATAAAATAAAAAAAGTTGCAATGGTCCCTTTTTTGTTTTTGTGTTTGCTTTTTTTTTTTAAAAAAAAATCACCAGTTCTTTAAGATCTCTTAAGGAAAAAAAAAAAAAAAAGGAATCTCCAACCAACTCCCTAGCGTAACGGTTGTGCTGCCAAAAGGTCCTCTGCAGACGTCTTCCAGACTTCAAAGACCGACAGGCTTCAAACAGCGCCTTCCGGAGCGGGTCCTCCCTCCCCTCCCCCGCCCTGTCCCCTCCGCCTTTGTTGCAATCACGAATTTCAGGAAAAAGAAATAGTAATTACAAAAACACATTTGGGGAGGGGTGGGGGTGGGGTGGGGGGATGGGGAATCACAACTCCAGACTAGGTATGCAACTACCTTGAGACACGATAAAGGAAGGGAGGGGAGCAAAAAAAAAAAAGAAAAAAAAAAAAAAAGGACAGGAAAAATGTTTTGAAACTACTCATTTCACTTTTAACTCCACCGAAATCTCCATCATGGTTTTCCAATTTCTTTGTGTCACGACATCATTATCAAGATCAGCATCTTCTGGTCTCCCCTCCACCCTACCACCACCACCACCATCCTCGACACCACCATCATCATCATCATCATCATCACCACCACCACCGCCACCGCCACGACTTCCTCCCGAGGAGCCCTGCTCTGCACCCCGCGGAGAGGAGGAGCGCAGCCGCGAGAAGCCGGGGGCGGCCCCGCTCAATACGTGAACACCAGGTCGGAGAAGTTCGCCTCCAGCCAGTCCCCCGCGATCATCTCGCTGAGCTCGGGCGTGCAGTAGTCGGGGAACTCGAAGTGGGAGCCCAGGCTGCCCTCGCTGAACGAATCCAAATCCTTATCCACCAGAGACAGGGACAGGTTCCCGGCCGCCGCGCCGCCCCCCAGCTGCTGCTCGCCCGCGCTGTGCGCGCCCTGGGAGAAATTCAAGCTCAGGTCGAACATGAGGTCGTCGGCGTCCTCGCCGCCGCTGCTGCTGCTGCTGCTGCTGCTGCTGGTGCTGCTGCTGGTGCCGCTGCTGGTGCCGCCGCCGGACGAGGACGACGACGACGACGACGACGACGACGAGGACACGGAGCGCGAGGACGCGGGCGACAGCGCGGGCTGCGCGAGCGGCGGCGGGTGCTGCTTGGTGATGTTCTTGAAGCTGTAGTAGAGGCGGCTGCCGCCCCCCGCGCCCGCGCCCGCGCCCCCCGCCGCGCCGGCCCGCACCTCGTCGTACAGGCTCGCGCCCTCGGGGGACTCGGCGGCGCTGCTCAGCGTGGGGCTCGCCGGCACCTTGGCCACGTTGTAGCGTCTGAGCAGCGGCGGCGCCTGCTGGCCCGGCGGCTGCAGGAGCTGCTGGTGCGGCGGCTCGTCGTCGTCCTCGTCCGCCTCCTGCTTGATGCGCAGCTGCAGCTCGTCGTCGTCCTCGTCGTCCTCGTCGTCCTCGTCCAGGAACACGCACTTGACCGTCTTGCCCGCGCCCCCGCCGCCCGCGCCGCCCACGCGCAGGGCGCCCAGCACGTACTCGTCGGCCGCGCCGCCCAGCTCCCCGGGCTGCGCCGCCTTGCCCGCGCCCGCCTTGGCGCCGCCGGCCGCGGGGGCCGCGGGGGCGGCGGGGGCGGCGGGGGCCGCGGGGGCCTTGGGCTTGCCGCACTTCTTGCCGGAGCCCTTGGAGGTCTTGGCGCCGCCCGCGCCGCCGCCGCCGCCCGCGCCCGCGCCGCCGCCCCCGCCGCCGCCGCCGCCGCCCCCGCCGCCGCCGCCCGCCGCGCTCTTCTCGGGGCTCTGGCCCGCGCTGGGCTTCGCCGACGGGTCCATTTTGGGCTTTTTCCGGGGCCGGTACTTGTAGTCGGGGTAGTCGGCCATGTGCTTGAGCCGCAGCCGCTCCGCCTCCCGGATGAACGGGATCTTCTCGCTGTCCTTGAGCATTTTCCACCGCTTGCCCAGCCTCTTGGAGATCTCGGCGTTGTGCATGTCCGGGGACTGCTCCATGATCTTCCTGCGCTCGATCTTGGACCACACCATGAACGCGTTCATCGGCCGCTTGATGTGGCCCGACGCCGTCTTGCACCAGTCCGGGTCGCTCTCGTCCAGGGCCACCGGGCTGCAAGCCATGAATTCGCCCTCCTCCGTGTCCAGCGCCTCCCGGGGCAGGTTGCTCTCCGCTTCCAAGCTCTCCGCCTGCTGCACCATGATCCGCCGCGGGGCTGGGCGCTCCAACCCGGGCCGCTCGGTCTCGTGCGGAGGTCCCCCTCCCCCTCTCGCCCCTCCACCTTCCCGGGCAAGTTGCAAAGTCCTCGGTACCCCGCGTCCGCGGCGCCCCCCCTCCCCCCCGCCCCCCCTTCCAGGCTGCACACAGCGGCTGCTGCGGCGGCGGCGGCGGCGGCGGCCGCCCGCGCGCGGGAAGCTGCGGCCGCGACCGGAGAGGCGGCGGCGGCGGCGGCGGCGGCGGCGGCGGCGGTCGGAGCAGCCCGGGACCCCTCTGTGTGTGTGTCTCTCTCTTTCTCTCTCTCTCTCCCTCTCTGCTCGGCTCGTGGCTCCCGCCGCAAGCGCCGGACCCCGAGCACTCCCAGGCGCGCGCGCTCCTTCTGCAAAAAGTTGAGGGCTCTCTCCCAACTAGTTATCAGGGTGTCATATGGGTGACATCACTCCCCGGGCCAGCCAATGGCTGCGGGCCGGCTCCGCCCATCTCCCTTTATTAACTCCTCGGCCACGCCCCCTCCCCCCCGCCCTCGGGGCTGCTTTGCAAAGATGGGGGGTGGGGGAGAAGGGGGAGGCACGTCTGGAGAGATGTTATTTAAAAAAAAAAACAAAAAAACAAAAAAACACCCGCGTGCGTGCACAGATGCGCCTCTCCCCGGGATGCTCGCGAGCCGCGGCGAACCGGGCCAGTCCCGGCCGGGGCCCGCACCCCCTTTGTGCCGGGGTCCCCCGGAGCCGCCGACCTGGCGCGCTCGCCGCCCGGGTGCACAGGCTCGGGCGCGCGCGCGCGGCGGGGCGGGCGGGGCGGGCGGGTGCGGGCGGGTGCGGCCCGGCGCGCCCCCGGTGGGTGCAGCTGCTTCCCGGAGCCGCGCGCGCCCGAGCCCGCCCGGGGAGCCCGCCGCGCCCGGGTCGACGGAAGGTGGCGCTTTAACACAACGCCTCCCGGGCACGTGGGCTCGCTGCTCGCTCTCCCTCTCGGTCTCTCCTCCTTTTCCCTTGCTCCCTCTTTTTCTAAGGCAGAGAAAGCCATATAAAGCCCGCGCGGCTTCCTTCTCCCCCCGCCCCCACCCCCACCCCCACCCCCGCCCCCCGTCTGCATTTTCGGTTTTGTCCCCTTTGCTCCGTAGGTTTTCCATCCTCGGAGGCGCCGGGGCCGCGCGCGTCCCGCCCCAGGCGGAGGCTGGAGTAACGGTCTGGGGGTTTGGCTGGGGCCGGGTCCTCGCGTTCAATCTGGCCACTCCGGAGGCAGGTTCTAAACCGGGTCCCGGGCCCCGCGAGCTCCGGCGCGGCCCCGCCCCCGCGCCCGGCCCGCGCCCTCCCCTCCCCTCCCCTCCCCTCCCCCCCGCGCCCCCCTCTTTGTCCCCTCCCCCTCTCTCGTCTCTCGGTCCCCGGCGTCCCCCCTCCAGACCCTCTAGCGAGGAGCCCGCACGCCTCCCGGGGCGCGCGCTGTTTTAAGCAAAACGACCCGGACGGAAGAGAAAACGAGGCGCATCCCAACTTCGGAGCCGAGGGGCGGCCCGCGTCCGTGCAGAGGTGGGACGCGCCGCTCGGGGGACGGCGACCCCGAGGTCGGGCCCGCTTCTGTAAAGCAAAACCCCGGTCGGTCCTGCTGGGCTACTTGGAAACCCGTTTTTTTTTTTTTTTCCTTTGTGTTTCTTTATTTAGTCGCTCTTCCCCCATCCGCGGATATTATGGGGGGGGGGATGAAAAAGCAGCCCGCCGCTTCCTATGCATTGTCTGTCGTCATCACTGGCTTCGCACCCTCCAGCGCCGGGGAGCTGGCAACTTTGAGCGATTCCCAAGATAACTGCCCAGAGTGTTTCACAAGGGGAGTCAGCCGCTTAGGACTAGTTACGGGACCCGAGAGCCCTCCTCCTTTCAGGTGCCCTCCCTGCAAATAATACTGCAGCACCCGAGCCTTGCAGTTTTCTGGTGTCTTCAATAACGTGAAATGGTACCACGTTTTCACATGTTTCACAGACCGTCGTATGTGTGATCCATACTCCACCATCGCGGTCCCCTCCCCCTCCTTAAGCATCCTGAAGAAAAACACTGCATCCTGCACTTGTGATATGCAGGTCGGTCGTGCTGGCAATTTATTTATTTATTTATTTATTTATTTATTTATTTATTTATTTATTATTATTATTATTTTATTTATTTTTTTTTTTAGAGCCCTCGGAACCAGAGGAATCTGCAGCCACGCATACCCGGTGACCTGAAGTCTGGAGAGGTATGAAACCAGAGGCGGTGTGTGACAATTCATATTGGCTCCCACAAGGCAAGCCCTGAATCGCGTTCCTGGCTCAGCTCACACATTTCCCGGCCATTCCGGCCACTGGGCACGCCGCAGGGGAGTGGGTGGGAGGGTGGAATGGGTGGCTCCACGCTGCTCTTCCCCCAACACCCAGGGGAACAGATGCATACTCTAGCCGAAGGCTTGAGAGAATTTAGCTCGGTTGCATTATTTTCATGCAGACTATGAGGGCATCTCGTATTTCAGACTTCGAGAGAGAATGCATTTTTGAAAAAATCTACAGCCAATTCAATATTTATTTGCCTTTTTCACTCCGTAAGCAAAAAAGTCACGTGTGACTTTAGAATGAGAATTAGGGGAGTGCAATATAAAGCTGGAAAAGAATGAGTTTCTTCTTCTAGTTTCTTCTTCTGCTATGATCTTCTGGGAGGAAATAGAAGTTAATATTTACCCTTTCAGATAAGAAGCGCAACTTCTGTTCTGAGAAAGATGGGTCATCTTTGGAGAAGAGAAAGCCAGCGAATCCGGGTTGTTTATTAGTTGTGAGGGGGCAGGCGGGGATGATGGGAGGTCAGTGTGGCGACTCCAGGGGTCTTTCAGTCAACGCAGGGCAGGGATGGGAGGAGGTCACGCAGGCATGGAGGCTTGTAAGGAATGTCCTGGAGCAGATTCCTCCTTCTATTCCATAGACAAGGTAAGAATTTTCAGAGAGGATTACCTAGATTGCTATTTTGTAACATGATCTTACCATACCTATTCCATGTTCCAGAATTTACTGAGGATTGGGGGGGGGGTGGAGGGAAAAGACAACTAAATAACTCATCTGTATACTTTTTCTGTCTGTCTTTTTCTTTCTAAGGAAAAGTTTTAAAATAAGGAAGGGGGGGGGAGTGTTTGAGACCTGCAGGCTTCTCCTGGGAACAGTATTACAAATAAAAAAAAAATACATGTTTGCAACATCATTAGTAACCAAGTATTTAAAGGAGTTTTAGGCTAACAAATGGAAAATGTGGCCCTCCGCAAGGATCCACATGCCTCCTGAAAGTCTAATTTAGTAAAACGGAAACTCATCTGCTATTTTTAAAACCACTGAATGTGTATCAGGGCTAGGCCTAGGGGTCATCTTTTTTTTATAGCCAGAATACATTTCCTATATGTGTGAGTACTTCTGTATTTGTAAGCGAGATGCCTAATCGTAAACATTGTTGCAGATATAATTCATGCTCAAAGTCTTAAGATTTACATTTGAGCAGAGCCCCAGGTGACTATTTCTATGGTTGTTATTGTCTCTTACCAATGATCTTTACAAAGAAGACCCTTCACTTAAAGAACTATTACGGAAGGAGGGTAAGATATTCTAGAAGTCTCTCAAAATGAGGAAAACACCATCAGGATACATATGAAATGTTCCTTTCCCCCCCTGAACAGGAAACGTTTTTGCTAAGCCAATAATGCACCAACAATATCACGGGGTAAATACTTGACTCGTTAAATTGAACTTACCAGTCTTGGATGAGCTCTGACCACACGCACTGCTCCGCGCCGCACGGAGACGCTGGCCCGCAGGACGATTCTTTCTCGTCTTCTCTCTTGGTCGGCTCTCCCGAAGTGAGCGCCTCCACTCGCAGTCCGGCCGCCCCTCTCTGCCTACCTCCGCCACAGACCTGGACCCGGGGTTTGATCTGTAGATCTCCTGTCTACCGGGGGTCCTCCTTCTCTGTATCTTCCCACGTGGTAACGGGTTTAAACTGAACGCACCTGACTCTCCAGATCCCACTTTACCCTGGTGTTCCCACAGTGCTTTAGGGCCTTGGTGTTTTATTCTAGCCACCGAGAACTTTCTATCCTCCTGGTCTTTGCATATTGACCTCCTGCATTGCATTTAAACACAAGTGCAGTACTGAGAGGGCTTACTAAGCACCTGCTGCTGCGCCTCCCCTCGACACACAGGCTGCCAACGACTGTCACTACCTGTTGGGATCATCAGCGCGTGCTTTAAAGTTGCTAAAATAGTCTTGCTGATGTTGTCAATCGTTTATTCTCTCAATTGCCCGGCCAGAGGGTATGCTGCAGTAATGCACAGCTGAGGGCACAGGGCAGGGTCCCTGAAACTTGTATGTATGTATGTATGTATGTATGTATGTATTTATTTTTTTGAGATAGAGAGAGAAAGAGGAGCAGAGACACAGGCAGAGGGTCCATACAGGGAGCCTGATGTAAGACTTAATCCCGGGTCTCCAGGATCACACGCTGGGCTGAAGGCAGGTGCTAAACTGCTGGCCACCAGGGCTGCCCCGACCCTGAAACTTTTAAAACATGATTTTACATCATGATGAGCACGCAAGCAATACACATATGAAGGAGAAACCAAAGGTCACAAGTGAATATCTCTTCTTATTAAGTGTAATTCAGACTACTTTCTATTCCATTTCTTAAACAATGTTGGTTAAACCCCACTGATTTCGTCTATTAATGAGATATTATTGAAGTTTGAATAACAGAGGCTTGGGTGTTCTAAGACTCTGAAATATTTTACCTTGGACTGAAAATGCCAATTCCGGTGTCCATCCATCCATCCATCCATCCATTCATTTGTTTGTTCTTTCTTTTCCTTCCTTCCTTCCTATATTCTTTCTTTCCTCCCTCCCTCATATTTTTTAGTGGATCTTATCACGTAGCCCTTGACCTTTTATAAAAACAAAAGAATCACTCAAACCTACTGCCTCCAAAATTCATGTTTTGTGTCTTTAATTATCCACATGAGCTATGCAT